GAAAATCAAATACAGCAGTTAACACCGGCAAAGTCACAGTGGGCTATAAAATGTAGACCACAGTCAGCACACAAACAAAGGGGCTGCTATTTATTCAGAAAGCAATGGCTGTGCAGCAGCTGGAGGAAGATCACATGGAATAAAAAACAGCAGACAATCATGTTGTTACATTGCATCACAAATTATTATACAACTTCTCTCTCCCTCTCACACACACTAACACACACACACAGTATATGGTTGGTAGTATATAGTATATGGGAAATATTGGATATCTATCTGTTTGGCTTTCTGTTTGTGGAATGATAAAGGCTCAGCAGGATTACTGTGGCATCTACCACTGTAATTACATGTGTTTTTCTATATTCTAAAAATAAGGTGGTTTGGTTTTTTTGCAACCATTGCCCTACTCTCTCTCTTCTGGTCTTACGTTATTAAACCTCGGAGATTCCAGTACGAGTTTTCAGAACAAAAAAATACATTTTTTAAAAACACCTAAAGCTATTAAGAAAGTAATGTACCTGCAGCTGTCATTCCAAACAAGCATAGAAAATGTCATACTGTGTCTAGAACAATGATATTTGAAGACTTTTGTTTCGTCTCTGACCTCTGTCAGGGGCATTTTGTCTGCATTTAAGGCTCATAAGCTGGATCTGGTCCTCGTCAATGAAACTAAGACAAAATGACCTCAGATCTTAATCTTCCTATTCTAATCTTCACCATTTTCTGGTCAAAGTAAAGTAAATGTCTTTGACTTTTTTAAAGAAAACATTTTTTATCTGAACTGACGAAATGTGTCCAACTGTCTGTAGTTGAAACCTTGCCTACAGTCACTTTTAAATATGCATACATCTGAAGTGTTTAAAAAAAAAACCCATTATGATGGATGCTATCCTTTATTGGGTGGAAGACGAGGGGAACACCTCAGGGAGAAAAGAGAGCTTCAATGCAAGCCATATTGTGGAACGGTTCTGTGAATTGTGGAAAGCACCAGAGGGACTGAAGTACATCTCCAGTCTGGTTTGCAATCAAATGCTTTTTCAGTAGAAGTGATACAAGAGTACAGCAGACACACCGTTAGAAATAGAGAGGGAGTCTCTGTATGGCAGTGTTTTGTTAAGTTATTATGATTTCACGCCTGATTGACCTGTAATGTGAATACATTATACGAGTCTGACTTCTACTGGACAACACGTGCCATTACAAGCACACATCAGTCAGTCTGTCACATACTCATTTGGATAAGTTCTAACCAGTGAACAATGCTTTTGCCTTTCTGGGTGGAATAAGTAAGACTATTTTTCTGAGGATTAACAGAATATCAATAAGGCAAATCTACTGTACAATAGTTTCATTTTGACACTGTGATGCATTAAAAAAAAATCAGTCAAATCCATCTGCACTACTGAGGTTTTTCCCTTTCCGTCTTAGCTCTGTGGTGTTTTTATCAGCTTCACTTTCTTATCATCATTCCTGAAGCACTTCACAACCTTTGCTTAGAATGTGTTATACGTTTATTATTATTAAAAACAAAACACTGAGTTAGTCATTACCTGTGCTCTGAATTACTTTATTTAATCTATTTACAAAAGAATACAAAATGATCCTCATCGAGCTCTAATAAATGTTTTACAATACATTTATAAACAAGGAGGACACACATCAGGCACGACAGAGAGGATCACTGCAGCTCCAGTGACAGGAACTATGATATCTTCAGTTGATCATTTCATTTGTGGTGCAGTTTTGTCCAATTGGCAGCTTCTTTCCGCCCTTGCTTCAACCCCTTTAGAAAAAAAAAAAGAACATGTTTTTATTCTGTAGCTCTGCTTTAAACATCAAGGACACCTTAAATGAAGCTGGACACATTTCATGAAAAGCATATTAGCTCAAATGCATGGGCACAGAAATGGACTATCTTCAACAAGAAAAGCATCTAATTACTACTTACACCCACTGCTATTGACAACATGATGCAGGAGAATAACCTTTAAAAAAAAGCTCAGAGTCCCTTTTTTAAAAGCCCATTGTAAAGTCAGTTAGCTTTCAAGCACATACCAGGTAGTATCCTGTGTGATATCCACTCATGTACCAGGAAATTAGCACGCTGCCCAAGGCCTCGTCATCCACCAGGTCAGGGCTCATCGGTGGAGGAGGAGGGATCATCTGTGGTCCAGACATCAACAGAGGCATATGTGAAAACGTAGTGTAGATGAGCAAAGCTGCCGATATTTGTGGTCGGTCATAACAGAGCCAAATCTAAAGTTGTCTCCCAATTAGCAACTGAATGAGTAAAAGTGTTACGTGTACATTTGCTCAAACAAATGTTGCATTTGTGTGTAATGATACACTTTGACTCACCGGTGGACCAAACGGCATCATGGGAGGCCAGGAAGGAGGTACAGGCCCGTGACCACCAGTTTGTCTGTTTCCTCCCTGGTAGAGGAAATTAAAGACATCATGATCAAAGGAAATAAATTAAAACTTTGTTTCAAATAACCCTCTTTAGTAAATTTTTATTTTTTTAAAGTCTGAAATCTGTCTGTCAATTTCAAATACAGAAAGCCTCTCGGTCATGCTGCTTACCTGTCTGAAAGCATGCATGGGAGGTGGGCCTGGAGGAAACCCAGGGAAACCAGGAGGCAACACAGGAGGAGCTTCTTTGTGGGTCTTTGGCTTCTGGGGTCTACTGTGGGGTTGTTTTTTGTTTTGGTTTGATTTGGACGACCTGTCACTCTCCTCGGTCGATGACTCCACCTCATTTACCTGAAGTTACAGAAACATTTTGCTGTATCATTGACTTGTCTTTTCCCCTCCCTGCATGAACAGGAAAACTTTTTTAATTTTTCTTTCGGGCCAATGAAAGAATTGCTACAGAAAAAAAAGTCAAGAGACAAAAATGTACTTATCTCCAGCCAAATTAATTTACAACTCATAAAGGATGCAAGTGCTGTACTTATTACAACTTAATCACATGACTGATTACACTGTGATATAGCCATTTGTTATGTATGAGACTTTCCAGGAGTTTTAATTTGATAAAGATTATGTACTGTAAAGTCTATTTATCTCACTTTGCACCAACTGACCAAAACTGTCAGCAATGTCTTCCAGCTATGTGGTCTAGAAGCCAAAAGATATTAGGTTGTGTTTTTTTGTAAGTCAGAGACTGAGTATAATAAACGAGATATACTTCCATTTTATAAAAGATATATATGTTAACTCGTTCCTGTTCAAGTTCATATTTACCCTGATTCTAACTGACTGATAGTAAATCTGATAGTTATAGTAAGAAATGTCAGCTATGACATCAATTTCTGCTATTTGCCCATGACGTATGTTTTTAAATTGGCACCAGTGAATAATAAAAAATACATCAACACAATGACACCAAGGAATTCAAAGTAGATCACCTGTTCAATAAGCAATTAAAATTGTTAAATGTATCAAGTCTGATAAAATGCACTAAATATACTCGAGTTAAACCTTTTAAGTCAACTTCTTTACCTTAGTATTCGATTCCTCGTCCCCCTCACATATCTCTGAAAGCAGGTCTTCAAGGTTCTGCTCCTCCTCGTTACCGTACCCTGTGAAAACAACTACGCAAGTGCCTCTCTTCTCGTCTACGGAGGTGACGGTGGCAGCATAGAGCTGGCCATCTTCAGACCAGTATGCACAGCACGAGTCCCCAACCTGCCACTGTGACAAAACACCAAGAAATAACAAAAGACGGACAAGAGACAAAACACGATTCATTAAACGTGTCGGTCAACATAAGACACCTCACTGTTGTGTTCGTACTTTACGCCCGTACTGTTCATCTAAATGTATTCTCTAACACAAAATAAAACAAGATATTTATGATTTCTCCTGCCTGTTCATTTGAATATTGTCTCCATATGCAGTTACACACCTCTTTATCTGGTGGTGCGTTTGTTCTTTTCCTGCTCTGGTTCTTTTTGATGTTTTTGCGTTTTTTTCCTGGTTGGTTTTTCTTGGAAGCCTGTGGCTCGTCTTCGCCCTTCAGAGCAGTCTGACGCACAAAGCAAGAGTTGACATGTTAAATGACAAAAAAATCAAAGACAGTGAACGCATCATGTGAACACACTGCAAAGCATGATTATTATCATTATTTTTTTGTTTTACCTTGAATGACGCAACTGCCTTGTCATAAGCCTTTACCAGCGCCGTGTCATCCCATATGTCTGAATCGTCACTCTATAAGAGAAAACGGATTTAGAGCATCTGCAGATTAAAAAAAATAATCTTTGAACAAGCTTTATATGCTCAGTGCAAACAGGTAACATGTGAAAGCGGCTGTGGGGTTTTTTGTCATTACATTTTCATATATGCTACCTTTACAGTGCAGTATTATAACCTGGTTTACTGTGGTGCATCCTCTGCCTGCACTGTAGGGAAGGATGTTACTGCTGCATCCTTCATGTAGCTGAAGCTAATACACGTGTTGGATGTCAAATGCATCATTATAGTCCTACATTGAAGGACTCAAACAAAGCACCTCTCCAGGTAACCCGCGGATCTCTTCTGATTTACCTTCCCCCCCTCCTCCTTTCCTCTTTATAACTTAATTTAGCCGCGCTAGTCGTGGTTTGTAGCTTAAGACTCATAGCTCAACATGTCCAACCAAACCTCTGAAATAAAAGCCTACAAAAGCTCATGCGGGTTAATCTTCAGTGAACTTCTGTATCGTAGCTGACCTGTCCAGTTCCACGTGCAAACAACACGTCTTTGCATCCGTTCGCCATGTGAAGATGTGTAAACTCCGCTGCTTTTTTCCCTCTGCTAGCTAATCGCTACACAACAACCTAGTCAGCGTGCGTCGTATACGTGACGTGCCTGCAAAAGCTGTCGACGTATATATCATGCGACATATTGGTTGGCTTGGCAACAGTCGTAGGTAGCGTAGGTTTCCGACTTCTCAAACACACGTAACAAAAAAAAAAAAAACAGATAGTTGGGTATTATTAAAGAAGCGTTTGTTAGCGTCATTATAATCTCCAGTGAAGATGATTGATTCCTCCCTGAATTCTTTGGGTGCGAAAGTAGTGGTCGCTACATCCGGCGATGAGAATCATCCACCAGAAAACATCATTGACGGGTGAGTGTCAGATAGTTATGTCTGAAACAACGCAAATAATAAAGCCACGATTAAAGATAATCCCAGAGGCTCCATTTGTCCAGTGCTGTTAGATCTCAGCCTCCTCTAATAAATGTTCATCTTGTTTGGTTGGCTTCCCCAGAAACACGACAACCTTTTGGATGAGCACTGGTATGTTTCCTCAAGAGTTCATCATTCGCTTGTCTGCTCTCACGAACATTACAGCAGTGACTGTGGACAGCTACAGTGGTATGTAGTCTTTGAGAGCGTCATAGTGTTGATTGTCTGCCTGATGTTTTTTAGAAACCAGACAAGTCCCCAAAGACTCGCTGTAAATACAGGTTAAAGTCCCTGTAAACCAAAAACAAATATATGTTTTTTTTAGTTTTTTATACAAAAGAAGATTGTATTATTAACCACCAGGCCAAATTTCAGCAATGAAAAAATTGATTTTTTTTTAATTTACCTCAATAAATACATTGATAAGTCATGTTCTATTCAGGTGTATTCATGTTGCCCACATTTAAAAGTTAGGGACAGTGACTATCTCCTTGTAAAAATTTAATATTTTATTATTATCAGTTTGAAAAGCTATCTAATAAGTGTCAGATCTTTTAATTGGCATAATCCGATCACAGATAGTAAACTGTATTGGAAGATGCAACAAATTCTTAATCTGAAGGTTTTAGTGTCTATGTGTGATCAGCTCCCAAATGATTGCGTCTTTACTCTATGCTTGGCAATTTCTTCTTAATCACAGAGTGAAGATGTCAGTTGAGAAAGTCACAGATTCTTGTTTAATCTTTTAAACTCTTGGATTAAACAATTTACTGTGACTCAAACCACCGTGTGGTAATCAATGAACAGAAATGGACTTCGATCACTTGCATGGAGACACTGCTAGCATGCTGGTTTTAGACATGTGTTGTGTTTTATACCATGCTCATGTTGTTATGCAAACACCCATCCAATAGTTATTGAGATATTGCACTCAAAGATGAAAAACAACAACAACAACAATCTAATGACACGAAGAAATATAATTAAAACAAGAGTAGGATCAGTAATACAAATTCAACATCTGAGTTTCAATATGTTCAAGGGAATCGACCCAAAATTTGTTAAGATATTTCAGGATGACTGGCCAATGGACAGACTACCTTTATGAGCCTAAATCTCACCCTGGCATGAATGTCATTGTAACAGATTTTAACACATTTAATGTGTGTCAATGTCAATATCCACATTTTCTTGTGACAAGGCAGGTTATCACTGTTTCTCATGCTTACTTGGAAAAACAGTTTGTGTGTGCTGTGCCAATCTTAAAAACAGAAATAAACGTGTACCTTTTTAAAAAATATATAAAAAAGTAAACATTTTTCTGTTTGTGTTGTTTTCTCTTGCAGTCAAATGTCTAAAGATAGAAAAGAATACCTCACAAGATGTTTCTCATTTTGAGTTGGTCACGGAGCAAGGTAAGAGAGGCATCTATCCACCATCTATTTTCAAAATGTCCATTGAAGAATTGAATGTAGGATTTCATAAACTGATTGTCTTGCAGAATTAGAACATACAGAGGGACATCTTCAGTCAAATACTATATCGGTAAGTCCAAATACATTAATTGTTATGTAAAACGTGAAATTGTAGCACTAAGAGGAAAAACATTGAATCTATTTCTCTTTTTCAGCTAAATAGGAGCAGCGCAACCCATCTTCGTTTTATCATCACCTCAGGATACGATCACTTTGTCTCAGTGCATAGAGTCAGTGTACAGCATTAAAACATTTGATGGTTGCATCATGCATTTATGTATATAAATATACATTTATATGTCATTATTTGGTCAATAAAATATGAGTAGATCTCATTATATGCATAGTCTGTTTTGATATCACACACATTGACATCTTCTCCCGTGTGACAAGCAGCTGTAACGAGGAGTCTGATTAGCATTACCATGAATATGTAAGGCTTGAAAACAATAATTTATTTCCAAACTAAATAACTGTATCATCTCAATATTATCAGTTAAGTCGCAAACAAAGCCCATTTTGAAATCTGTCCTTAAATTCTGAAATGTTCCTGAATCGTTTTTTTTAAAAGTACTTTTTGTCCTTATTTAATGTTATGAATTCGTTTTATTCTACATTGAACAATTCCTGCTAATTTCAAAAGCCGATAGTTGGCAACGCTTTTGAGTAAAAGGAATGGATTATGATGAATGGCAGAATGTCTTACAAAGGAAGATTGTCTCTGTGTGAGAGATAGAGGTAATTAACTAATTTTGAGCAGTGGGGCTCAATTTGGCATCCCCACCGCCCCAACAGCCCCCCTTCAGCAGAATTTAACATCCCTATAGAAATGGTGAGCCATGGGTAATGCAGCTGGGGGGTTGGGGAACCAGATGGTTTCCCGGCCAACCAGCAGGTCTCTAAAGACCGCGGGCCTATTCACACTCAGTATTCAAGCCTCCTCCTGTACTTATATCCTACACACACATACACGTACACACACTTGCAAACTTACACTGACTCCTATCTACCTCCACTGCCATTTCAACTTGTCTGTAACATAGGGTTCAGTAGTCAGTCTGGACCCTTTGGGACTCCCTCCCCAATTACTCTGCTGACTGTGGCGGCGCTTTGGGATTTGCTGAGGCTGTGTTTGCTGTATCTGGACTGCATTCAGGTCTCCGAATAAACCAATAAAAATATGAAATACATGCCTGAATAACTAGCCCCCTGTTATTTTACAGCAACTAATTGCTTGCGGGTATAGCTGGGATATAGCACATTTGAGTATGTGAGTGTGTAATGAGTAATGAGGCCAAGGTGGAAAGTGATAGTGTTATTGACTCATCTATTATTTACCGGTATGGAATTTTTATTATAATGTTGGAGGTGAGGCTCTGGAAATGAAGTGCAAACTCCAGAACAGTTAAATCTTTCCCTCCAACAATTGTTCAAATGTGAATTATATCATTTCTTGGCTGAGAATATTTAATAGATCCCTTCTTTTGTATGTTGAACAGATTTGCAGAAGCGCCTTCCCATCACTAATGGATTCAGGCTCTTTTGTGCTTGACTGTCAGCCGATCAGGAGAATCACAGCAGGATATGAGTGTGTTATTATCATGTCACTGCAGGGGCAGGGCTAAATTATTACCCAGTGTCTTCTGACGGCTGCCTAACTGCTGTCCAATCACACTGAGACATCTGCCGGACCAGAACTTTGCATGTTCAGCTGAGTCAATAGAAAAAGATTTATATCATAACCTTCCCCTAAAAAACCCTCCGCTCCCTCCTGCCATAATTGAAATAGTAGATTCCCTGAAAAAGATAAATATTAAAGCTGGAATGCTATTAGAAAAGTACATTTGAAATGGCTACATGCATGTACATACTGCATTAACACTATAATATGTAATATTGGATCTATTTTTATACAACTATGACAGGGATGAAGAAGAGTAGATGATGTTTCTTACTTTGTTAGTTTGAAAAAAACAAATCCCCCGAGCCACCCACCCAGTTCTGTTATTTTCTTTTATGTCAAACCAACGACTCTGAGTTCCTGTTATCTCCTCTGTGTGGTCCTCCTTTCATGAGCATTGACAATGGGCTTTAATTTGATTTCAGTCTTGATTCGGCCCAATCAGCTTAGTTCTGACAGAAGCTGAGCTGGAAAGAGCTGCAGCGTGAGGAAGGAAACACTATAAAGGCAGATATTAGATGATTAGACCAGAGAGGAAAACAATCTTCTCATTATTGAATGTAAGAGGGCTGGAGAATGATAATGAGGGACTGACTGAACGAGTGTGCAGCTGACATCTTTGAACATATATCCACAGCATTCATATTTATTTCTGAATCCAACGTCCGCTTGTGAAGTTATGCAATAGATAGGAACAATTGCGTATGACATTTTATTTTTTTACATCTGCACATTTATTATAAGCACAGTATGGTCCATTTTGTAGTGGTGTGCAGTGCACAATAAAAGTATTCATCCATGTACCTTTGACTTGTGAAGTGCATTAAAGGACACCGTAAGTCATCATTTCATAAAACATAATGCAAGTTTGTCCACTAAGGGTGCGTCGGTAGCCTAGTGGTTGGTGCACGCGCCCCACTAGCGGAGGCTGTGGTCCCCTGCACGGACAGCCCTGGTTTGAATCCAACCTGTGGCTTCTTTCCGACATGTCAATCTCAGCTCTCTCTCTCTCTCTCTCCCTGATTTCTGACTTGATCCACTGTCCTATCTCTAAAATGAGAGCATAGAAATCCCCAAAAATAAACCCTTAAAAAAATAGAAGTTTGTCTGCCAATGTGTTAGATGATGTTTGGATGCGGATAAATGTGCTCACCATCTTTTTCTGGCAGAACCATCAGTAAAGTCTGGCTGATAAAGGCGATGGATACAGCAAAGTTAATCAGCAAAGGTGTTAGAATGAGCACTGATGCACAGATGACATAAATGTTTTAAGTTGATAACATTTGCTGCTTATGTAATCACCCTTGTTTTTGTCCTAGCTTGTTTGTGGGTACATGTTTCCAATTCTATTTTAGCATACCGGCTGTTTCACTGAAGCTCATTTTCCAAAGGCGTTTGGTCTGCTCTGTTTGACTCTGAACAAAAAAATCCCCAGTTTTATGGCTGCAGTGTCAACGTTTGCTACTTCCATATTTGCCTACTTTTCTTTTTGCCTAGTACATGCTGTAAAACACTTATCAGTCACTTGAGTTTGAGGGCCACTGCTCACAGCCCCTCACCTTACAGTTCCACTTAAGTCTGCCTGCCTCTAAATCTCTCCTGACCTGCTGTGCTCGTGTAATGTAATGGTGGGTAGCTGAGTAATCTCAAGATTGCCACATTCCTGACCCGTGCAGTGTGTGTGCATACATTTTTGCTTAATACTTTTTTGCTGGCCCTTGAGAATTGTGTGGGTGGGAATAGTTAAACCTTAGCTTCACAAACTGCTGTGCCCTTGTGAATAGTGGAATAGATCCAAAAGAGCAAAGCCAAATGTCCAGGGCTGCTGCAAGGAAGGTCTGTTTGTCTCAATGTGGAGCAGTGTTAGCTTGTGCCGAAGATGAACAACTTTAGAAGAGAGATAGACATTACCGGACATTACCTATTCCATCAAGCCCCTTTAATCTGCCTCTAAACAAACAGATCACAAAGAGAATCCCTGAAATAGTTTGCACTTGGTTTCAGACAGAGGTGTTCTGCAGTATATGCTGTATGACAGACATTTCTGTGCCAGGAAGTAGAACGACATACTGATTTCGAAGCCTTTGTAGTCTGCATAGTTAAGGTGTATAATTTGCTTTAACAAAGACCTGAGCTTATTCCCTATAACTATATTGATTAAGAGGTTTGGGTTCTTAAAGGAAAACACTTTCATATATAAACGGAGAGATGGTTCTTGTATAAGTAGAAAAGTGATCTGTATGGCACCTGAAGTTCTTTCTTCTGCCTTTCAAGATGAATCACTGAAATGTCCTGAACACCAAGTTTGAATTTGAAAACAAAAAACAAAACAAGAATATCATAAACATGCAGGTGGTTAAATAAAATATCAGACTGTCTGGTTGCATGTTGTGTTAAAAGTTTCACTTTTGGATCGATGCATGCCAGCTTAATATTATTTGAACATGTACAGTATTTTGAAGTGCATAAGCCCTTTGTGCTGTTTTTGAAGTGACTGAAATGTTTAAACTGAGTTTTTCATGCATAAATGCCACAAGAACAGACAGTGAAGGAGCATAGCAGTAATGTGAATATGCAAAGTTAAGTTAATTAAGGATCAAGGAACCTAAGACCCACAATAGATGATGCATCACTGCCGACCTGTCCCTCTGAAGGGACAGATGCTGAGCCACAATCATGCTTATCATAGGTCATCATCAGACATTAATCATGAAAACAAATGAATCACCAAATGTCTGGCCTGTATCAACTGATGACTGATAAATGATATTAAAATAAGAAAAAATGTTTATAATTTTAATGGTGAATGACAGACAGCGTTGTAAAAAAAAAAGAATGTAAACATGAAATAACAACTAAAAGTGTCACAAGATTACCACATACTAATAAATAAGCATTGTAAAACTCTAATATTCTGCAGGTGTAAAAGTATCATAAATATTTGTGGTAAATCACGGTCAAGTGCCCATTTCCCTTTAACTGGTTGTGCTATCAAATCTCTGTGGCAATAACGTCGTCATATGTTTGTAACCCTGAGCTGTAGTTGAATTCCATGCCTAGCTCCGCCCGGCTCTCCAGTTCAGCAGTGAGCTCCTTCAGGATCCTCTCCAGGTCTCGGTTCTTCTTGTGCATCTGCAGGTAGTTGATCTGGAGCTGCTTCTGATACTTGATGACCCTGTCCTTCTCCTTGTTCCACGTGAGCCTCTCCTGCTCAAAGCTGTTGGCCTGCCTCTCCTGAGCATCCTTCTCCTTGCTGAGCTGCTGCTTCAGTCTCTCCACTTCCCTCTGGAGTAATTCTGTGGAGTTTTGTCCGCTGTTCTCCTGCCCTTGGCCTTCGGTTGGGTAGTCTGGGCCTTGGATTAGTCTTTCCAAGGCCTGGGTCTGGGCACAGGCCTCTTGTTGTGCACTGTGCTGCAGCCTCTGCTCTTTAGCCAAGGCCAGATCCTGTTTCATCCCTTCAATGTCCGTCTCCAGTTTGCCTACTTTCTCTCTCAGCAGATCAGCCTCGTTCTTCTTGCGCTGGAGTTCATTTTGGCATACCTGAATACGAAATGAAAAATGTTCCCACACAAGAAGCAATTTACAAGGGTGAATGATATAACAGGTCTAAGTATGTAAAGTGTCTAATATGTTCTCTTAGTCTACATTATCATGAACGATGACTTTGAAGGTCTGTATTAGTCGAGTGGATCATATATTGGCAGATATCTTTCCTGTAAAGGGGCTTTCATTTTACAAGCACTATGTGGGCGTTTTATTCACACACCCTTACTTGAATGCTGTTGTGGAATGTATATTGAATGATCAGCAGACTTACCTCGGCCTCTATGGTGCGGGAGTAGAGTTTGTCCTCATGCTCTTTACTTAGTTTCTCCAGTGTCTCCATCTTTGCGGCATTTTCCCTCAGTAAGGCCCTCAGGTTGACAATCTCATTGAGCTTGTGGCTGACATCAGTCTGGCAGTCTCTCAGCTGCTGCTTCAACAATGAGATCTCCCCTGTCTTCTGGCACACCTGCATTCAGAGTATTACCCAGTTAAAAAGATGTGGGTAATATTCTGTTCACCTAGCATCATAGTTTCAGTGTTTACAGAGAAAACATACATTCAATTATTGACAACAAGCAAACAACAATGATTCTTTTGCTCCGAAAAATCATTTTTACAGAAGCGGTTTCTGCAGCATGTTGTTTATCACCCCACCTGACACCAACCAGTAGTTGCATTTAAAACAACTATATAGAAATAAACAATCTTCTTCCTGATCTTTTGGTCTATTTAGAAGGTAATTTAGAGTGTCTGTATTCATTTTTATATTTCATAACAAGCTTTAAGCTCCTCACAGTGGCATCTAGAATCTATTGGTATCATACTGTACCAACCCCCTAACAGGTGGATCTTGAACAACCAAGAGGGACTGTGAAACTGCGAGCATTAGAACCAAATATTGTTTGCCCATTCTGGGAAATGTTTAGAAGCTTAGGTGTTGAGCTTAAGCTTCTTCTACTAGATATAAAGCCTTCTACCATTTAAGGCTAAAGAAAACAACTATTTCCAGCACATTATGCACTGATGAAAACATACATTTATGTTTAAACCGGCACTTTAATGATGATTCTGTGAGCTTAATGATAGTGCAAGCGGGTTTAAACATTACCAGCTTAGAAGCTAAAGTCTTTTGCATTAAGGTATATGTCTGTCTCTTTGGCTGCTTATTGCTTTTTAATGTTCACCAGCTACACAGTCCCTTTGCACCTTTAAGAAAAAGCTAAAGACCCTGCTCTTTCATAATTACCTATGGCCTTAATGATGACGACGGTTTTGATATTATTGATGATGATGATAGTAATGACGATGGTTTTTGTTTGATAATGACAACTCTTAGGATGGTTTCTATACTGATTAGTTCGTTTGCACTTCTTGACATTGTTTCCTCTTTTTTAGATCCTTGCTTGTGTTGTACTTACTCTCTGATGTACATTGCTTTTGGACAAGTGAATTGTTGCTAGTTTCTAGTTTTGGCAAGTAACATACAAGTAGTGTTTCAGAAATTAGTTGTAAATAGGTTTTTGATTACATTTTTGAAAAGGTAACATGCAACCATAAGTTCAAGGATGATAAAAAGCTCCCTTGATTTGATAAGAACTGCCTATGTGGTCATATTTCTGTGTGTTTACATAAGTGACCCTTTCACATTACGCACATCCATTTAACTCCTTAATTGTAGAGAATAAATAGACTAGCGCACCCATAAATTCTCAGGAACTACATGTAATTGTACAAACAAGAATAAACCATCTATGTGTGAAGAGAGATTTAATAATGGCAAACCAACATTTCTATTCAAGAAAAGGTATTTAATGCTCCTGATGGTAACATTGTGAACTGAAGAAAAAGTGAAGGAAGTTATTTTATTTGACTCTTTAAATATTAACATCAAACCTCATGCATAATAAGTCGATTTTTGAGTAGTGGAAGGACATTATGTTCTCTCACCTCAGCAGCAGCCTTCAAGGTTGCACCGGATCTTGTGGTCTGCCACAAGGGCTAGAACCTGACTGATATCACACGTATGACTCATGACTCACCTCCCATTGAGTTTCCTCAAGTGTTGGAGTGAGCTGTGTGCTCTGTGTCTCATAACACCTCAGCCTGAGCTCCATGAGATCCTTCTCTCGGGTTAACTTTGAGACGTCCTCCTGTAGTCGCTCTTTCTCTACCTGTACAAGATTTTATTTTTCATTTGAATTATTCATGCAAGAGCGTAAGGTTCATTTCTGTGCTCATGATATTCTTCTCAATAACTCCATATATTTATGTAAAGAGAGAAAGGAGTTTTGAGGGGATTATGAACCACCAGTGAAATGAGTGGATTGGTTTACCTTGAGCTGATTGACCTGCAGTTGTAGCGTTTGCTGGGTTTTTGCTGCCATTTGGGACACTTGTCGTAGTTTTGTGGAGCATCTCTGCTTCAGCACCTCCATCTCCTCTACACAGTACTTTTGTTTTTCCTCAAACAGCTGGCAGGTGTCTGCTTCCTTCTCGTCAAAATTCACCTATATAGGGTGAAGGAAGACATGTAGTAACAGTTATACAATGTAATTACTTATTAGAAGTGCTTATCTTAAATTAAGTTCTCATGCTGTACACTCCTAATGTCTGAGCTTTGTACCTGAAGCTGCTGCAGTTCAGTCTCTTGCTCCAGTAGTCTTTGTTCCAAATGTTCAATCAGTGACTCATCTGTAGTAATAGGGGAGCGAATCCCACCTGCAGTTTGAGAGAGAGTTCTCGCCTCATCTGCACAAAGCAGAGCAGCAGAATACCCATTAGCCTTAGATGCTAACCCCCAACTGTTTGAACCAGCCCTGTAGCTACAGTCAAGGTTAGCTCCGTTCCCGTTGACCCATGGAGGGAAATTGGGCTGCACTCCCTTGCTGAGGCTGTTTGAAGGAGCGGAGCTGCTGTCACTTTGACTGACAGGGCCTGTGGAAGCACTTAGGCTGCCGCTGGTGCTGTGAGTTGGCAGGCTAGACATGGAGTTACGTCCAGAGTCTGAGAGAGTCCCTGAAAGGAAAAGAAATGACATCTTTAGTAACTGCTGTTATAATTCTACCTGAAAAATCTCTTTTGAAGTGAACAGTTTACTAATATATAGATATAGATAATGGCCCCGGGAAGATTGTCCTGATTTTGTCATATACCTGGACTCCTGGATTTCTCCTGAGGACAAAGGATGCGGTCCAGGCTGTGTTGGCCTGTCTCTGTGGAGGTCGTACTCCTGGGAATCACAGGCTTGAAGGCAGTGGAACGGACCAATGACTTCTCAGCAGAAGTCTAGAGGAGAGAATTGACACACACAGTCAGGGGTGCTCGTCCCTGTTTTGGTTTCTTATATTCAGCGGCTACTCTTTCCTGACAGGATAGGAAAAAAACACCTCCCCTTTTACTTCTGCAGAGAGCACAAAGAGCCACAGACGGGTCACATTCTGAAACTCGAAAATCATAATGACTGTCTGTCACAGAGATAAATATTGTCACATGCTGAAATGAAAGGGATAGATTTTTTCCCACTCATGTCTTTTCTTATTAGAAATAGAAGCACTGAAGCGTGCAGAATTGCTTCACTACAAGCTGCCAGCATTAACAGCCCCACAGCAGTGCTCGCAAGTAAAATTCACCAGACTGTCATAGGAAAGAAAACTCATTTCCAAGATGAACTTATACTCCGCATGGCCCATCTGTGCTGTCCAAGAACGTCACAAGCAACACCTTACCACCCCTCCTTCCTGTACTCCTCTCCTCCTCTCCTCCCCTCCTTATCCTACCTCCCCCCCCCCCCCCCCCGCCCCCCCATGTGCTGTCTGAGCGAAGATGAATAGCCCTTCTCTGTGATATTAATAATATGAGCTACTGCTGAAGTCTAAGAGGTAAAGCCTGTGAGCTCAGCATTCCTTCTTACTGACTTCATGACTAGGAAGCCGTTCTTCCACCCCCCCTTTCTATCCCTCAAACTCTCTTTGGCCCTCTCTCTCTCTCTCTCTCTCTCTCTCTTCCCTTTCTCATTCTTTGCTCTGTCTCTATTAAAGCTGCTTCCTATTCCTGTCCTTTCTCACCCTCTGGCCCTTGAGGAACAAAGACCTATTGAGGGAGACTCTGTTTGCCTACATATTCCTGGCACAGAAATGACTTCCCTGAGAAGATCAAGGCATTCCTAGGTCATTAATCTGGGAGGGGGTTGATTAATATACCGGGACGGCTCAACACAGGTTAGGGGGAATGGCACCAACCAATTAAACCTACCTGCTGTGCATGTTTTATCCTCAACCTAGCCGAGAGGTTTCAGAGTCAGTAGCTGTCATGCATGATATGGTATGACCCATTGATGGTTGTAAGAACCACAGCAATGGAACCAGTGAAGTAATAAACACATTTTATGAGGTTTGAAAATGGACTACAATTATAATCTCACTTGATATCTAAATTACCTTTTTTTACATTTCCTAATTATCTAATCAATCAATCAATTTTTATTGTATTACACTCATAACGAATGTTATGTCAAAATTCTACAAAAGAGCTGGTCGAGACAGTAGCCTACTTTTTATTATTTGCAGAGACTCAACACAAATCCACCATGAGTAAGCATTGCGCAACATTTGGCAGAAAAACATCCTTTAAAATTGTTCAAACTTCAATTTGAAATTTTATTATTTATAATTATCATTGGCTTAGTACTTTAGTACTGTATGTTCACCACCATTCCCTCAGGCAGTCTCAGGACCATTCGCACACAGACATACAGACTAAAAAACAGCTTCTATGTCAGAGCTGTGGACAAACTCCTCAACCCATAAACACCCCCCAATCAGTCACTGCAAAATAATAACTGTTTATATTCTTTCAGTCACCACAACTGTCTATTTATTTATTATTATTATTATCATTCATTCACTGAACAGCAATTGCTCTGGCCACTTTTTACATATTTCTCTTTCATATCACCACAAATATATTTTTGTTGTTGTTGTTTTTGTAAATGCTGCTGTTTAGGATTGCTGCTAACGAAGCGTCGTTGTGTCCTTGTACACAATGATAAGAAAGATTATATCTTCTATCGATCTACTTCCTTATACTACTGTAAACTAACCATGTGGCTATTAACAAAGAAAAATGGGCATTTCACTCACTCTTTGAGTCCTGTTCCCCGACATGAGCAGCAGTTTTGGTTGCAGTTGACCATCTGATTCTCGCTCTTTATTCTTTTCAACTCCGTTGTCTTCCATTGATCCCCCTTTGTTGTACGCTGACCTCGGTTTATGGCTCACCTTATTTGGAACAGGAAAGCCAGTGTAAAATACTTTGATTTATAGGTCCAGTTCAATACATCTAAAAAGCTATAGTTGGTTTAATCTGATGGCATATGAGCTCACCTTAATGTAAAAAAAATCTTCACTTCGTCCGGAGCGGGAGTAGGTCAGGCCTTTAGAAGGATGATTGGTAGATGAGGAGCCCTGAGTGAAGCCACACCTGAGTAAACTGTCAAGGCTGCAACCTCCACTCTTTCTGTGAGGGTTTACTTCCTTTTTTAACCCGTAGTCAGATGCCTTACAGTGTTTGCTGTTTAGGCTGTTGCCGTTGATGAGGCTGCTGACACTACCCATGGTCCTGCAGGCATAGGTGAGGGGTAGATTGGACTGAACTCCAGGAATTCAAGTTACATTGAGCTGAAGGGCAGACACAACTCATGACCCCAGTAAGGTCAGTGGCTTCATCTGCGACACAAGACACAAATTGTGGACATCAGACACAGAATATAGCTGCTGATCCCCAAACAGAAGATCCTTTAATGAAAACTAGGTCATGGTTTATTCTGATGTGTATCAGTTTGTATTGGTGTTTGAATGTATTGTTTCCTTTTCAGTCCGACAGGCAGTGTTGAAGCAGGTGTGTTCACGTTTGCAAAATAAACAAAGTGTAAAAGTAGTCCATCTTGGCTCCCTGCCTGGCTTTGTGTGTGTAGATTTATGGCCCGACCGTTGAATTTAACAAATAACCCTTTTGGTGCCCTCCCTCTAAACAAACTGGCTACTTACTGCCCGTTCTACCCGTTCTGCCCGTAGTTGGATTATTCAAATGGTTCTTGAAGGAGTTCCATTATTTTCACGAATAATACAAGAGCATTCATTCACAGAGATACCAGTAATGCTCTCTATTCATTGTCTTCACCTCATTTTACGGACAACTAGACCCCAGATGTTGCTATCCATGATCCCTAACCCACAGGGGAAATGTCCCCTCAGCAGTGACTTAGGAGCAAAATCATCCATACGGACTGATCAGGCCTGTGGCTCCCCTAACCACCTGGTCCTCAGCCTTTAAGCACTTTATAACGGCCACACCAACAAAGCCTTGGACTAATGGGCCATGCTAAGTCACATATTAGTGTACATTGCCTTGAGCTTCAGCCTAATCCATAAATATTGCTAGCTCTGTGTTGTTTGCATGAATAGCAGTGACATTTTCCTGAATAGAAGGCAGGACGGCTGATCAAGACTGTCACTTTTCATCCAAAACAATGAAAACAATGATAAGCGGTATGAGATGAGTACCAAATAGATGTTTCATGATGAGGAGTATAATAGGAGCATGAACAGCAAGTGAGACAGAGTAGCATGCACACAGAAGAAAGTTGAGTAGTTGATGTGGCAGAATACAAATCTGTATGTAGGTTATCATTATTAAAACAAAGGAATTGCCAATTACAGTCAAATATTTCAAACTATAAATGAAACACACAGCGAGTTGGAGGTCGTGCAACACAGTTTAAGGTTTGATTTTCTTTTTTGTTCACAATGAAATTCAAAAAATATTATACAAAGTAAATGGTAGGTTGAATTTGTATACACAGCAGTACAAAGCACAGCAGTCCCTGATGTGAACAGGCTCTGACATGACTGGGACTCCCTCCATTCTACTGTGCCTAAATGTCTGCAGGAAACTCTAAACTGCAGCCTTCACTATCATTCCCGGATATCAGCATCCTCCACTAACGTGGGACTGAAGTGCTGTAACAATAGCTTTTACTTACTGCCAGGTCAAACTAAGCATCCATCTCTAGCACGTCCTCTGCAGAATCACAAGTCCTCCTGTCCGGGAGAAAGTAAGCAGGCAGTCATGTGTGTACGTCTGTCTGTGTGTATGCGCCTTGAATGCAGACTCTCACTATCAGCCAGGCCAGGAGGGTCTGCTAAATGTTCTGTGGAGGGGGTGGGTCTTCTTCCTTTCTAGTCAGCCTGGGCCCAACTTTGCATTATAACTGACATGTAAATTCAACTCAGTGTGTGTTTGTGTGTGTGTGTGTGTGTGTGTGTGTGTGTGTGTGTGTATGTGTGTGTGTGTGTGT